ATCAGGGAAAAGTTGATCTATTGGCTTGGACAACCAATTGGAACCAAACTTTTATGATCTAATTTCCAGATGTAAACCTCTTGTCAAACTCAATGTCGCTGTGGCATGCTACCCTTTTGTCTCTACTAACCTCTTTGAAACAGGGTTAAGGGGGCTGCTAATGTGGGACACAATGCACACACGTCAAAGGAATGTGTTTGCAAAAAGCTGTAGAAAGCAAAACCGGCGTTCTCGGCATTCTTTTTCCAAGTTGAAAAGGAATCTTGCAGCGAAAACTACAATACGGTGGCAATACCCGAAATAGACCCATAACGCACTGATGACAAATGGCAACGGTATGTGCAACCGAAAAGCGCTCACGGAATCCTGCAGTCACGTCGTCGGGAATGTGAACTATTCCATTTCATCAATGATGTAGATCGAGTCACTGTTACCTGTAGTTACTGTTACTGCTATTGCATAGCTGTTGGAATGTCGTCGTTCAGAGGTAAACTATACCGAAACCTGCAGAAAACTGGTAAACTTCCTACAAGTCCAGGCCTGTTCTAGTTGTTTAGTGTTTTAGACAGACCTACAACTTCCAAACCATGGAAATAAAGCAAATTTCCCTCCTCAGGAACAGATCCCATTAGCTGAGGACGCAGATTTTCAAAAGTTTTACAGTTTTACAACTCCCCTCACTTTCAACCTGTTTAACTCGATCCCTCCTTTTTCAGTAGGTAAGACTTCTATTACTGGTATGTCAGAGGTCTTCAGCTGACTTGCAAATTCATCTGCTCAGGTGATGATTCAGTAACAATGATCAACAGCAAACAATTACCAAAATGTATATATTTAGTAATTATTGAGTAGAGTAAACTAGTAGCTGGCGTGATCAGAATTTGAGGGTCAATATCACGTCACAGACAACTTGAAGACTTTTTTCACATTCCAACCCCACTTCGCTGATGTCCAGTGACGCTTTGTCCTGTATTCATACACCATTTGGGAACGAAACATCGTAAACATACACCGTTAATGCCCAGAGATCACATTGTGTTGTAAATGATGCAGACATTTTCTCTAAAAATAGCTGTATTGATGAAACTTCCAGACAGACAGGTAACAAGTAAGAGTGAGTCAGTAATTTTACTTAATTCACACGAAATGAATCGATTTCGACGAACTTCTCTAGGGTTATACGGTTAATACATGTTTAGTCCCTAGAAAGTACGTGAATCCGCTTGGGCCTCCGGAAAGGTCAGTTCTTCCAGGAGAGTAAAGCAGTCAGTGGTCCAAAGCCTTCAGAGCAACCGTTCGGAAATCGGAAATCGTAAACGTTGCCTTTCTTTGTGTTTCCACATGAGTTTCCATCGCCATTTTAATCTCAAACAAACACAATTTCTCATCGCTCATCACTAAGTTGAACTTGTAGGACATGAAACGAGCACAAAATTCACCTTTTCAAATATTTTACAACTACTAGCAAGCAAACACAAACTGTAAACACATGTCTGGTCCTTGGAAATCAGGTGTGATCCACCCTGGACCCACTGATGGATTCATACCCCAAAAGAGTAAAGCCATCAGAGACCCGAAGCCTTCGGAGTAAGCCCTCGGAATTCGGAAATCGGAATCATTGCATTTCTAGGGGTTTCCACATGAGTTTCCATGGTCATTTTCATGTCGAGAGCATGTGATCTTTCATAGTCTCAGTCATTTCGTTGCACTCAGGAACATGGAACCCACAAAAAATTTGCCGTTTCAAATATTATGAAACTGAAGTTCAAATTTCAGGATTGTTTTTTAATTTTTGAAAATGTATTTGCGTTCTCATATTTAATGGCGTGACAACAACCTTTAGAGTATTCACGCTGAACCTGTTGGTAATCACTCACTACACGTCGCATTGCAGTATATTTAGCGTCAAGTGTGATGATCGTACTCCTGCTGTCACAACATGTCTGGGTACATGGCAAATTATTTCCTAATAAATGATCTAGGAATAGGGCTCAAAATAATCCAATTTGATCAGAGAACAGGTTTACTAGAGAGTCTCGAAATAGTTTTGAAACAGTAACATCCCACGCAAAAATGTAACGCTTGTCTACCTCGGCGATCAGTTACTTCTTATACCAGAGATCGTTTACTGTAATTTTAACGGTTTTCACAGAATTCCATCCCCCTTGTACCGTAAGCTAACATGGAGTATTGAGGACAAGTACCCAGGATTGAAGAATGGGCCCTTTGCTTGAGTGGTTCCAGGTTGAGGCATTCCCGGATACCAAGTAAGGCCGGGCGTCGTACGAAGCCGATGCCTCAGACTGACGTCGTCGTCGGAATGCCGATTCTCACGACCAGTGGACCGCTTCAAACGTTTACACCGTCGTCCCATAACCAGCCAAGCTGGCTGGTTGGCTACGTTTCTGCATTAGGTCGCTGTATATTACACAATACAAACAATGAGACGCGTATTTGTTACACTGACCGAGTACATAAGCAAGCTGTCACATACGACTGTTTCCATGAGAAAGGCCCGATACTCAGGGCCCATTGCCCGAGCTTCCGAAATTTGCAGGCTATTCTGAGATTCTCGCACTGTAACTGTCCTTCTGCTAAAACAGGATCATCTCGGAACTTGTTGTTCGGCGTCATTTCTCATGGTCTAAATATATCTCCAGTAGACCGAGTCCATATGACTCATAGGTACTGATCCTTGAACAACCGCTGTGGGAGGTAATTCATGATCTATTTCTGGCCATTTGCTCAAGAGGCTAATTGGAATTTGCCATACCGATATCCTAATATGTCCACGACATCAGGTCTTTCAGGTGGTTGATGACGTTATGTCTAATCTTTTTCCATAAGTGAAACAGGAATCGCCCACACACATTCACACATCACTGGGTCGGGTATTTTCCATCTTTCTGTCTGTTGCATCGCGTTGTTGCATGTAACAAGTGTTTGTCTTCCCATGGGAAACGCACTTTCGCTAACGGTTCATCGGGCGCGAGCATTTAAGACCACCTGTAGGAGGCGGGTTGGTGAGGTGGTAGGTGGTCCTGGTCAGGCCGTCACGTTGGCCAGCTCTTTGGGCCCAAAGATTTTCTTCATATTCACTGTATATTCTTCTCTGTTCACAATTCCTTATTCATGTTTGTAACTTCAAAGTTATTTCGCTTACCGTAAGCACACCGCGTTTACGCGACGTTCCGATGTCCGTTGCGCTGGCGCCACCGTCCCATTTATATACAGGTTCTGCTAGTACGGCCTTGTTTCGCATGTTTTCCCTATTAATTATGACACTTGTCGCCAGAAAAACGATAGTCATTGAACCGAGTTCTGGCAGAACGATCAGTCTCGAAATGTTGTAGTTATTAGCTCTGATACCCACGTTCCGACGCTATTTCCTACCATTTTCTGACTTTCTGACCAGTCGCTCCTCGAAATTTTCGTCGTCTTTACTGTCATAATCATATACCACTTATTCCATTACTTTCAGAAAGATGAGTATTGCAATTTTGAACGATCCCCAACTATCCAATGATGTCTACGACTTACTCATCTCTCGGACGACGTTCAGTTTGGTACTGACTGCCCGAGCGGAACTCGATGAAGTCGCACTCGGACGAGTCACCGGCAGCGAGTCGCACTTCGCCGAGCCAATGTCAACTTCACAATCGCTAGCATTATTGCTACGATTATAATTCTCGTCAAGCTATATATAATAGGGATCGATTTGGTCCGATTTCCTTCCCATACATGATCTCTACACGATGATTCGAGACGTTCCAATGGGTTTCATAAATGAAACGGTTGTTGTTGCAGCAGGATTGATCACTTCTATCACTACAATACTCTATTTTAATAGTAATATGTTAGCTATATGTTTTCTGCTTACATCAATATTGTCTCTGTCCGTCATCGATCCGTCAGGAAACTTTCGGAGAAAAACTGTTTCCATATATGATCATTTGTTGACTAGTGCTTGGCACAAGAGAATGAATATTTACTTTATATAGCTTGAATAGTACGATTGTTGTAAACTTTCCAAGAAGTTTTAAATCATATTGTCCAGCATTTATTCAATCGAATAATTTTAATAATCGATTGCAATGAAGTGTATGACTTGGGTATGAACATAGACATTTGAACGTTCATTGTGCTGATTACGCCGGTATTATCCGGACTTTGAACTTCTTGTTACCAAACAGTAAGATGGTATCACAAATGAATACAAAGTCTAGCATTGAAAGGAAGAGTCCTCCCACGCATCATAGATTATTATAAATAGCTGTATATTCCATTTACTAACTGAATACCCTATTCTAGTAGTCTAATGTAGTCGAGTGCATCGAGTATGACTCACAATCAGTCTACTGGTTAGCCAGTCTACTGGTTCAGGGTAGGCAAATTCAATGTTCAGCCACGGAGTGTTCAAGTAATCATCATCCTATGTGTTCCCTAGAAGGGACTATGTAGAAAAGGGCCGATTAACAGAAGGAAGAGCCCGAAATTTGGGGGGTCAGAAGTACCAAGTAGGAAACCCTAACGTTACTAGAGTAACCACAGGATACTCTAAGGTATAAGTATTTAAGCTGATACTTAACTTACTCAGTATTCGGTTATAAAAGGGGAGAGGGGAGGAACCAAAGAGACTGGTCTTTATGTCCTCATCCCATTTCCGATTTCCGAAATTTGCAGCTTCAATTTGGGTGACTGCAAATTAGTTGTATAGGTGCAGGAAACTCTACAAACTGTTTCGTAGGAAACTATTGTCTCACATCACTCAAGTAGAATAATGGCGAGGTACGGTACCGAAAGGGGTCATAAATTAAGAAAATCGAAAAGTATAATGATAGCGCTTCGTCACCCGAAACAGTCCAAACTCGCTCTGAACCTCGGCCAGTTTCAATCAACTGATCAGTCATTTCAGCAACAGATTGCTTGCATGTGTAACCAACTAGTGGTTCTATAACGTGAACAAGACCACAACATGGTGTTCGATGTAATAAGAAGGAAGTAAGGTCATTTAAAGTGACATTTTAATTCTTTTTAAATAGCTGGTTGCTGATCCAGAAGCTCAACCCTTCAAAAACTCAACACGAGTATACATACATGTTATGCACTTCGCATGACTAACTTTATAGGACTGGAAGGTCCAGCACTATCCACTTACATAGTAGGACTTCCACAGAAGAATGCGCCACGCATTCAAATGCAAGTCCGGAATAGGCTCGAAATAAAGGTGTGCATGGGCTACTTAGGCCTACTTTCCAGTGCACTCCATGCAGCCCTTACGGAAGTCACCATTTCGTTTTTAGTAATGAATTCGATACGAGAATCTCGAATGGCAGGATGAGGTTAAGTCCAAGATCGCATGCCAGGACAGTGCTACCGTTATGCCTAGGTTAAGCCCAAAACTCTTTGAGAGCGTTTCTTGTTCCTATGATGTTGCCCCTGTAGACGGACGGTGGGGGAAGCGAAAAAAAGTATATAAAGTGATCAGAATTGTCAGCAAAAGGGTCTTCATTATTAGAAGGCAGGATGAAACTTCAAGTGAAAAAATCCTTTCTTATGTCCCAGCTTCAAGGAGCCATAAGAACGAGTGAGCTGTATTGGGGAGTTGAGGCAGAAATTCAGGATATGGATCCTCTGAAGTATACAAACTTAAAAATCAGCTCAACATGATCAATTCAACCTGGTATCCAAGCCATACCAAGGAATCCACGACTGCCAAGAAACTTGGTACCCTGAGAATAGTTTAACAAGCACGATGAAGCTTGAAAAAGAATAAGTAGGAAGCCATGATTAAGTTGGACTAGAGCGAGTAAAGGGGTTGGCAAAGATGAAGCCGAAATTTTTTGAATTGTCGAGGACCTTCTTGGAGACCCAATCCCTCCGAACAGCAATTTTTTTGCTTTGATCCTTTTTCAACTACTCAGATTAAATCTCCAATTCCTTTTTGGTCGGTCCTTCGGTTTCGTGCCCATCTGGGAGGATAAGAGCCCTGACTTGCACATCGGCTAGCACTACAGCCGAGCTAAAGAGCTTGGAATACTTTCAGTTTGATTCGCAACAGCGATAATGTACTATTGGATATTACGGATTTACACCTTTCGGACTAGGAGAGGTCGTCCCCATGAAAAGAAACCAAGGGGCGAAAACTATTAGCTTCACTGCCACATCTCGCACAGAGCCTTGAAGGTGCCTGCACACTGGATGTACTGACCGCCTGCACAGACGACGACAATGCATTCAAGGAAAGGCAACCATCCAGAGCTTGGTTCTCCGAATTTTTGCTAACTCGTTGTCAGATCCCAAGAAAGCACAACAAATTCTACTTGTTACAATCTTCTTCTGTCAAGTATTCCGACTATATGGCTTCTATCCAGACCTCTGTTGTTGCCGCCAAAACTCACCTATTTAAATATAAGAAGAACTACTGCAGTAATCCAAAGCTTCAAATTTTCTTAGTCTATTGGGCCGACGCATAGCTACTGTAACTAGCTCCCGTACTAACTTCCTCAAAAGAGCTTATTTTTTTTCTTGCTGACGACATTTGCGAATTGTAATATCTTTCCATACTGTTAAAGAGTTTGGATAGTTTGGATAGAAATATATTCTTCGTTGTCACTCCAGAGAAGCTCATTTACTGGCGTGGGAAGAAATGAGAACAGATTTCTGTTGGAGACCTCGTAATCTCATTGCAAAAGACACTACATAAAAGACAATTTCCAAAAGTTTATAAAAAAAGTACTATCATTGTATTCTCTCTACTAGTGCTCCTCACCTACAACCGCCAAGAAAGGTTCTTGTAGAAGTGTGCCATGGCTGCTTGTGATTTGCTCTTGTGAAAAATCCACCAACGAGGATCATCCCTGCTACATTCTATTATTTTGTTCACTGTTTGGACCTCAAAATAATGAGCTTGGTCACTGCTGCGCTCTAATGAGATTCACTACCAGGCCTCGTAATGCTAGAACAAATTTCAACAGTCTGATCAATTTGAACTAAAAAGTAAGCCGGGTGCAATGTACTATAGCACAAGTATAGGAGTAGTGTCATCTACTACTGCTGAGAAGCCGGGCAGTACTAATGGCGACCAGTGCTCGTAACAAGCTTTCTCGTACTTAGGAACGTGAAAAAAAACTGATCTTCATCTCATAGGCCCCTTTTTACAACTCTTTATCGGCGTACCCTGCAAACCAATCAGTATTACAATCAGTTTAGCAGCTGTCGCTTACAGTGTTATGAAAGTTTACCACAAGTTTACCACCTGAACGCACTGTTTGTCCTTTGACCCGTACAGATCGACTAACTCACTGCAAACAAATATGTACGTCTCGTAGTGAACAAAACATGGCCCTAATTGGGGAACCGTTCGCCTCCCACAGAGTTACTCATTAGCGACGATAGAGGATTTCATATGTATTTACATGCCCCAATTACCCTTTAGGATCATCCTTGGAAATGGTGGTTTCCTTCGGATTTCAGTGAACCGATTCCAAGAGGTTCCAGAACGAGATTCGAGCCATCGCAAAACCAGTCGGTATAACCATGCCTTCGACCAGCCTTCTGCTCCTACTTGACAGAAAAGCATGGGAGCAAGACATGGTTCCCCATCTGGCAGTAACCGTTATTACTAGTATCAGTTATGAGGGTTACTGAGATGTACGGGAACTAACCGTTATAGCACGGATAGCATTCCAATATTGAAAGACCAGCCGAGAAATCGGTGACCCCCCGCGACAACAAAGCCAAAGAATAAAAATCAAACGAGGAGACAGACAAGGGAAACAGCGTCGCTCTGAACAGGTTATGTTTGCTAGGCGGAAGAAGCATGGTCAAGAAGGAAACTTCCAGAAGGGTCACCAGCCAATTTGAATAATTTTGAACTGGCTAAATCAGCACATAGAACATTGTTTGTGATTGATGGTGAGGTTTCAAAGTGGGCTTTATGAATTCGAAGTTAAAAAGAACGTCTCAGGAAGCGCCAAGGTCGCTCGAGGTCTTTGAGAGGTAGCCGCACTGTAGATGGCTTTGGGATCGAGTTGGCGCAGTGGCACATGAAGCTCGAGCAAGCTTCAACCCAGGAAAGGAGCAAGAAGTGTCCCTGAACAACGAAAGTCTCGCCTCAAGGTCGTATTGCTTGCAGAAACACCCCTTCTATTCCCAGGTCAGGAGGCCCCAGAGCTAATGGGAGGGGCTGAGCTTATCAAATCTCATTTTGAACTAAGGGATAATTCTTATACCTATGCTATGCTGGGTTTAGGCCCTCCTTTCGATGATCCACAAAAGTGTAGAAATGGCATGGCCTCATGTATGCTCCTTCCCCCACGAATCCGCTACTCCCCATTTGAACGTTACTGCTGAAATTTCAATTAGGTTTGAGCTTAATTTCGTTTCACAACTTTTCCGTCAGTAGCCAGTCCATATGAACAGGTCCAAGGACAAACTGTCCATTAAAGACGATTTTTATGATATTTTTGTGATAACTTTTAAAGTAAATATTATGCAGATCGCGTGCTCCCGTTCAGCAACCAGATCACCACCTTGCGCTTGCATGGGAGGCGGTCCCAAAAAATCTGCTGACGAACGTCACCCACAAGATGCCACCCAGCAATACTGAAATGTTCTCATGACTACTGGCTACGATTACTGCGGAGAACAGTTTCGGTCAAATTGGTCGTCATCTTATCAGTTC